CCAGAATTCGCTTTATCACCAAATGGCTCTGTTGTGTTCTGGGTCTTTGCCATACGCTAAGTTTTGTCGTGACCTCTTGGACTGGCCCTCCTCTGGGACACCCTAACTGCTCCCCTTCTACAAAGCCCATTTTATCATCTAGAAGCAGTTACGGAGATATCAGCACTCTCAAATTCTGAAAGCAGTTTGAGTGACCTCTGAAAGGGGGACTAAGGGGCCATGGGCCATCCAACCCATCCCTCTTGCATTGTTTTCAGGACTCAGAGCTAAAACTGAAACCTTTTCTACATCAGTTAACCTCTTGGTCTCACCAGCTCTCAAAAACCGTGGAAAATTTTCAGATCATTTTGACATCCTTCAGGACCAACTGGAATCTTCAGCTACTGCTGTGCTCTGAGACAGATCTGACCATGCTGATGTTGATGGGACCTGTGCCCTCCTCTATAAATGATGCTGCTCCCGCACCAACAGACCCTAGCTGCTTTGAGAGGGGCGGGCCTAAAGACACAGGGACTGTAGGAAAACAGAAACAGACAGACTTGATCTCAACAGGCTGAGAGTGCTGTATTGGAACAGTGAGGGACCCCAACCTTTCTGAAGGTTGAGTGCATTTAGAGGGGCAGGGGGGCATATACATATACATACACACATATGTAAGTAGCTATCAGGACGTTACAGCTGTTTTTCTGTGCTTTGACTGGGAACAGGGTGGGTTGTTTCTGATACTTGGCATATTATTTCTGCAGGTGGAACAGAATAGAATGGCCAGACTAGGGCTAAGCTGTTATTTATTGCCCAGTACAGCCTAACTCAATTCTTCATGACCTGAGGCTATTGCTCAGCAGGGACAACCAAAAAATTCAACCACAAGCCTCCTCCTGTATATGGGCTTTTGGTTTCCTCCCTCTCTGGCTCCTCTCCTTGAACACTTCTTTTTCTCCTTGTTATCCCTGTACTTAGGTTTTCACCCTGTCTTTTAAAAGCTTACTTACTGACCATCACCCTGTACCCCCCAAAAATGACCCATGTAAGTTCTCTTAATGGGCCTCGCCCTACAACTCCATCTGATGCTGATATATCTGCAAAAAGACCTTTTAGATGCTGCAGAGGAACTCTGGCTGATAAGTCATCCCTTTGACTGCAAGCCAAATGCAATTCTAATCACTAGTCCTCTAGTTTCTCCTTTAACACTCTGTGGCTCCCAATTGCTTCTGCTAGCTCACTTCAGTGCAGCACTCCTGGCAGTGGAACAAGTCCCAGTCACTCTGTACTACTTCCTCTCACTGGCTTACTGGCCACACACACACACACACACACACACACACACACACACACACACACACACACACACACACGCATGCACGCACACACCCCTCCCTGCCACTCCCCCTCCCTTCCTTCCTGTGTAATCTGTCAGCTTCACTCTATAACCAAATCATCTGTTGTCGGTTCTCTACTGATTATGTCTTAAAAGTTTCTCCCAGAAGGCATGATGGCAACCGTATTTTCCATCACAGCCAATCAAGTTAAAACTCTCTTCCTGCTAAGTGACCAGAGGACCCCCTCTTCCAGACTCTGAATTAGACTGTGCCTACAGATTCCCCACAAAACTCCAGTCCTATTCCCAGAACCCCTATCCTCTCCAGCTCATTCCTTATCTCTTAAGAGTTGGAATATTTGGAATAAACTTTGAACAAACTCAGCCAGACCTTGACCAAGGAAGGCCCTATGTTGAAATTCCAACTCCATCCTCCTCACGGCCATTGCCAAACTCAGTTGCCCACTGTGATATGCAACCTGATAGCCAGGACAAGGCAGTTTCTAAAGACATAACAACCTTGTCTGAACGAACAACTCCAGGAGTGAGAAGCTGCAGGCTCGCACGTAGCCCCAGTCACTGCATTCCCCAAACCTCCATGTACCCCTTTCCCTTTAGCAGATACCCTTTCCCCATCGTGCCTGCCCCTTGATGTTTGAGATAAACACTCCAGTCTGCTGAGGTCATACTGGTCCCTGCTCAGAAATCTAACGTCAAAGCACACCCAGTTGGGTGCCCCTGTGTTTTTGTTCCTAATAACGGGTCCTGAGCCTCACTGTCAGTCTTCCACCTGTCATTCTCACATGATAGACTGACTACAGCAACCGGGCAGAGAAGCAGAAAGAAGTTCTGAGCAGAGTGCAGCCTTGAGTTCAAGAAGCGCTGACACTGGAAAGTCTGAATTTCTGATGAGGAGTGGTTTCTTTATGACTGTTTAAAGGAAATGTTGTCTCATGTGACCCTTTGATAGAAACACACGGTACACTTTGTTTACATTTCCCACAGTATTACCCAATGTCAATGACAAGGCCAGCCACAGATGACCAGTCACTGCAACAAATCACATGAATTATACTGAACCAAAATAAAGAAACAAACAAAACAACAACAGTAACAATGAGAACCCCACCGGGACTGACTGGGACAATGAAAAAGTCAGAGAGATTTGGGGCAGTCTCAAGAATTTTCTGCTTGTGGAAGGGACTAAGAAACATCTACCCCCCATCTTTCTAATGTCCCAGTGACAACCATGGTCAATGGAGAACAACCGAGTTTGTTTGGCTTAGATACTGCATGGGTGACCCTAAAGCAGACATGCTGAAAGGTCTGTACCCAGAACGGATAGTAGCTGTGTAGATGGAAACAGTACTCCCCCAGGCTTCTCCGATTATATACTCCATGTGCAGCTTTGGCAGAACGGCATACAAATTGATGTGGGGAGGTCGGATATTCAGGTAAGGTCCCTCCCCAGTTCCTCCTTCTATGATCGAAACTCTAAAGTCATTAGGTCCATCTGGGATGGTACAGCTGAGCTCATGAAGATGGCAGCAGTTGGTTCAAAGGATCGGAAGACAGCGCTTGCTGTTCAGCAGGGTCAGTGCGTATAGGTGCTTGCCACCAAGCCTGGCGAGTTCAGTCCCTGGAACCCATATGGTGGAAGGAGTAAACTGACCTCAATACATGCACACATTTAAGTAAATAAATGTAATTTAAAATTGAGTTGGGGGATAGAGAGATTTGGGGCAGATGACCTGTGGATGACCCTGGGAATGGATACCCTGGTAAGCAGGCAGCATTGTGACAGGGCTGGGGATTAAGGGATCTGGTTTCATCACATGAGGACACTGACCTTAGCTTCTTTGGGCCTAGTGGCTTTTGGGGACCAGATGTGTGGTCTCAGAGGCTTGGCAGTTTGCCATTAATGCCAAACAGGATCCAGTGTGGCCTGGTGACTTCAGAATACTTGGGATAGGACACATTGGGGCTCACATGACTGCAAGGGAAGATTGTCCCCGTTCTGCAAGATGAGTCTGCTTGCCCTTTAACTAGTACAATCACCGAACTTCAGTGCTAGGAATTGGGCTCAGGTCCTGCAGAAGAACAATGACTGCTTTTAACTTCTGAGCCTGGGACTCAAGGTGTTAAGTCACACACCACACTTTTGGTCACATTCACACAGCAGCTGTTAGTGACAGCCCACAGGCCTTACCTCATCAACACAGAATGTCAATTTCACATTCAAATGCCATCTCATGTCACATGTGAAAACCCAGATCAATGCCCTATCCAATCCCACACTTACGTAGGATAGGTGCTAAGTCTTCTGTTCGACTCCCTGCTGTTTCATTCGCGTACAGGCTCTCCTGCTGCTGCAGACTCCTCTAAAAAGCCAGGCAGACCACTCACAGCACCAGCACGCCATGTGAATTATGTTCATCCTCGAGGGCAGCACCCTGAAGAAGGAAACAACTAAAACCCCATCATGACAACAAAAAATTGGAGAGATGTGTGGTTGCACAGGGTCTATCCCACACAGGGGAGAGTATGGATATGGCTTGACATGATGGCAGCCATTTTGAGCTACAGCTGCCACGACTATCTGAGTCACCACAGTTGGGGTTTCCTACATATTTTGTTAGTAACAGAACTGTGAAAGCACATGTTCTCTGGATGACCTGGAGGGATGTGCTTGGCTCTTGATGGAATCTGAAGATAAACCAGAGACATTCTGTCCTAACCCATTACAACACTGTCTTCTGTTCCAAATGTAGGGACCCAGCTTGGCTGCCCAGCTCCTCGGGACCTTCCTCTGCCAGTAAGTTCACCAATATATCTCACAGTGCAGTCCTCACCCTGTCTGCCTCTCTCTGCCGTGTGTTTATGTGTGCACCTGGGCTGATGCATGTACATGTGTGCAGGTGCGTGTGGCATCTGCAGTCCAACACAAGGTGTCTTTTTCAATTACCCTCCACTTTAAAAAAGAAACATTTAAAAAATCATTTTGTTGTTTTCAAACAACGTCTCACTATGCTGCCCTGGCTGGCCTGGAACTCTCTTTGTAGACTCACAGAGCCTGCCTCTGTCTCCCAAGTGCTGGGATTAAAGGAGTGGGTCATCATACCTGGTTTAAATACATTTTAAGTTCATGCGTGTGCACACACATGTGCCACCACATGTGTCCAGATCAGAGGAAAACTTTTAGAAACAAATTCTCTCCTTCCATGTGGATCCCTGGAATTGAATTTAGGTTGTCAGTCTTGGTGGCAAGCAACTTTACTCACTGGCCAAATACCTTATTTTTTTAAAGATAAGATCTTGCACCAAACACACTGACTAGCATGGCTGACTGGATAGCAAGTCCCAGGGGTCCCCTGGTCTCCACCTTCCAGTAGTGGGGTTACAAGCATGCACCATGATGCCCAGCTTTTATCTCAGGGGCTGGGGATCCAAACTCAGGTCCTCAAGCTCGAACAGCAAACCCTTTACTGACTGGGCCATCTCTACAATGGCATCTCTCTTTTTGGTCTTGAGGCCAGGGATTATTCCAGAATGGGTGGAAGGTTCTCTGGTTTCTTCTCCCAGATGAGGAGGAGGAGCCACCCCCACTGACAGCTCTGTTTGAGCTCATTCCTTCAGTTCCTATGAAAAGATGACACACCCTCCCACTTCTAGGGAACTGGCAGGAGCCAGCCCCAGAGGACAGGAGGGATTTAGGAGCCAGGAGGAGCTCAACATAATTGTGGGCTGAGCAAGCCGTGGACAGCCACTGTCAGCAGTTGGTCAACAGGTGAGAAGGTTAGTATGCCCCTCTGCCTGCTCCCCCAAGCAAGGAACATGCTTTCTCTTACCCGCTATGGCACCCTGCTCCCTGCCTGGCTCTCAGAGGGGTGCTGGTGGCTCTGAGGATGCTCTCTGAGAGAAAGGGAAGGCAGTCCAGGGAACCTTGGAGGCCGAGGCTGCAGGCTTGGAATTCACAGCTCTGGGTGGGTCCATTGGAGAATGAGCATGAGGAAGATGCCCAAGCCACCTTCTGTATCCCCTTTCAGAACTAGCCTGGCCTCCACCATCCAGAATCCACACAGGAGTAGGAGTCTGGATTAAACACCCTTGGTATACCATGGGGCACTAAGGACCACAGAGAGAAAGGGTCCTGCGTCTGTCACCACCATGATGCGTGAGAGTCCAGGCAAAATCTCTAATTTTAAGATCCTGAGGATCTGCAATCTGACTCTGACAACTGGGCTTGTAGGTTGAGCCACCATCCCCTGGAGGTGCCAAGAAGGATCCTTGGTGACCAGCGGGGAGGTGACACTTACCAGGACACTGCAGAAGGTTTGGGACCATGAGAGGAAGCAGGGTCTAAAGGAGGGTGGGCCTCTGTGAGTGGAGAGATAGTTAAGGTGGTCTCCTGGGCAGGGGGCACAGCCGGAGCCAGGAATGAGGGTGAAACAAAGTACACAATGCTCTTTGTCACTGTCTCCTGTCCCTCCCTCTGACTCCCTCTCCCCCTGCCCTTCTCCCCCTCCCCTCTCCCCCTCCTCCTCACCCCCTACTCCTCTCCCTCTCTCCCTCCCTCTCCCCCTCCCCCTCTCCTCCCTCCCTCTTTCCCTCTCTCTCTCTTCCTCCCTCTCCTTCCCTCTCCCCCTCCTCCTCTCCCTCCCTCCCTCTCTCTCTTCCTCCCTCTCCCCCTCTCCCTCCCACCCTCCCTCCCTCTCTCTCTCTCTCCCTCCCACCCTCCCTCCCTCCCTCTCTCTCCCTCTCCCCCTCCCTCCCTCCTCTCTCTCTCTCTTTCTCCCTCTCTCTTTCTGTGTCTCTCTCTCTTCATCTCTGACTTTGTCTGCTCCTTGTCTCCTTGTCTGCTTCTTCCCATTTCTGTTTCTCTCTCTGTCCCTCTTCCTCTCTCTTTCTATCATTTATAATAGCTGTTCTTCCCTGGCAGCCCCTGTTCCCAGAATCTGGGTCTGAGTCTACACACCTGGACCATCCCCCAAGTTAGGACAAGGTCCCCCATGGGCCCTGTGGAAAGAGGTACTGCTCTGAGACCCCCTCCACTGAGAGCACCAGGGACTTTCCTGTGGCTAATCACTCCCCAAGAAGACTCGGGGCCCTGAGACCCATCACCAAAGCCCAGACTCTGATATGACGCTTCAGAGGAGCCACAGTCCTGCAGGACCCTGGGGATCTAGTGTTCTGCTCCAGATGGAGCATGTGGGGAAGTCCCCTAAAGCGTCACCCAGCACAGAACAGAGTGTCCTGGAGTCACACCAGGCACCATCAGAGACCCTTGGGTGGGTGTAATCGGGGTCTTGGAGGAAGAGACCTCACACTAGTACCACGATGGAAAAGAAAGGGGAGTCCCTCCACCTGTGGCCCCTTTGCCTGAATGTGGTAGGCCTCTGCAAGGGGGCACCTCCCACAGGAAGGGCTGGCCAGCCGGGATGAGAGCAGAGGATGCTGCCTCAGAGCACAGAGGTTGGGGCTCGGGGTGGGCGTAGAGAGATCACACACAGCTAGAAAGGGGCCAGGACGACTCTAACTCCGGAAGTGGGAGGCTCATGATGTCTTATTTCCCACCCTCACGGTGCGCAGCAGCTGGGTGGTGAGCACTGTCGCCCTTTGCAGGGGCCTCCCAGAGCGCCCACTGAAGACAACGAGGATGCTGTCCATATTCAACATCTGGGGCCCGGTCAACAGCGCGCTCTTCTACCTCAGCCTCGCTGTCAGCCTGGCCGGGCTGGGCGGCAACGCTCTGCTGCTCTGGCACCTCGGTCTGCACATCAAGAAGGGCCCCTTCAACGTCTATCTGCTACACCTGGCTGCTGCCGATTTCCTCTTCCTCTCCTGCCAGGTGGGCTTCTCCATCGCCAAGATGGCGGCGGGCTACGAGGACACACTCCACTTCCCGGTCATCTTCCTGTGGTTTGCTGCGGGGCTCTGGCTGCTGGCCACCTTTACTGTGGACTGCTTCCTCACCTACATGCTCCCCTCCTATTGCAGCCCCGCCTGCCGCCCCAGGTACACCTCGGTTGTGGTCTGCCTCCTGATCTGGGCATTGACCATGCCGGCTGTGCTCCTGCCGGCCAATGCCTGTGGACTGTTGTACAACGGAATGAGTCTGCTGGTGTGCTTCAAATACCACTGGATCAGTGTCGTCTGGCTGGTGGTGCTGACGAGCATGGCCTGCGTGGGGAGCATGATTCTCTTAATCTGTGGGAACTGCTGCTCTTTGCAGCCACCCCCCAAGTTCTGCAAAGTGGCCCAGTGCTCCGGGATCCTGCTGTTCTTCTGTCGCCTGCCCATGGTTGTCTACTGGTGCCTGCGGCCAGTCATAGCATTCCTGTTCCCCTTCTTCTTCCCACTGGCCACCCTCCTAGCCTGCATTGACAGCAGCGCAAAGCCCCTCTTGTACTACATGAAGGGCAGGCAGCTCGGGAAGAAGGAACCTCTGCAGGTAGTCCTCAACAGGGCTCTAGGGGAGGAGTCCCAGTCAAGACTTGGGGGGCTATCCCTGCCTATGAGTCAAGTGTAGAGTGGCCCATCCTGTCCTGTCCTCATAGCTGCCAGGAGATCCCAGTCTTGCTCAAACCCTTGCCGTGTCACAGTTTTGGCTCTAGGGACTTCGGAGCTCCCACTCATAAGCAGGGGAGAAGGGAAAGAGGCCAGGCTGCCTGTTGAACATGGCAAGGAGGACAGGGACAGACAGAGAGGCAGGGGCGGGAAGGAGGACCCCAGAGCTACAGCAAAGGCATGTGCCCTGCATCCTTCTGTCCCTATGGCATCCAAGCTGAGAAAACTGCCCCTCAGCCCCAGTGGTCCAGGCCACAGGAGCTTTGCCTCCTCCTGTCCGGTGACTGGAGGCTCAGCATCAGCTCCTGGGGAGCATTTGCTGCTCTTGGGGCCACTGACCCTTCAGCTCTGTCTACAAAGTCCTTATGTTGGATGCATCCACTGCAAGGCCTCATCTAAACTGCTATTTCTCCCTCCCTCGCCCCAACATTCCTCATAAAACACCAGGCTGCCTCCCCAATTCGCCAGTCTGGCATTACCCATGGAGGCCACAAGATGGCGCTGTTTTACCACTAAACAGATCCAGTCTGTCCTGGCCCCAGGGCCACTGCAAATTGTTACATACTGGCTACTTCTGCCTCCCAAGGCCCCCAAAGGGCCTTCACAGTGCCAGCGGGGTGCTCCTGCCTCCTACCCAGATTCCATCCCCATCCTTCCACTCTTCCAACATTGTGCTCAGGCAAGCTGTTTCTGCAGACACCACCCTGGCCTGACAGCCAGCTTCACCTACAGTTGGAGAAAACAGAAAGACAGCCAAGCTTCCAACGTGCACATTGTTTTTGTATGTTTTATTATGATGGTTCTTTAAAAATTTTTAAAAAAAACAACAATTATCTTCATCGTCATTCTTAAAGCACTCAAGCCCTGGGCCTGGAGAGATGGCTCAGCAGTTAGGAGCACTGGCTGCTCCTCCAGAGGACCTGGGTTCAGTTCCCAAGACCCACATGGTAGCTCAGCCATCTGTTCCAGGGGCTCTTGCGTCCTCCTATGGCCTCTATAGGCCCTGCAAACACATAGTGCACAGACACATAAGCAGCATTCAAACCTTGCTGAGAACACCAGGAAAATAAGTCACCACCACACTTTCCATCCAGATGGATACATCTGGTATAAAAGCGACACTCCACCCCTGTACCTCAGAAAACCCCTCCCTTTTGTGTGGGTACAGGTAGGGGCATATGCGTAGATGCCCGTGTGGGGGTGAGTGCAGGTACACATACATGTGTATGGAGGCCAGAGGCCAACCTCAGGCTGCTGTCCATAGGAGCCACTTGTTTTTTGAGACAGAGTCTCTCACTGGGCCCTGGGGCTTGCTGATTAAGCTAGGTTAGCTGGCCATCAAGCACCTAGGATCCGCCTGCCTCATGCCCTCAGCACCGGGATTCTAAGCATGCATCACCACACCTGGGCTTTACACGGGCTGGGGGGGTGGATTTGGGCCCTTAGGCTAACACAGCACACACTTTACCCACTAGGTTGTTTATTTTGCGATTTTAATTCAGAGTAAAGATTCTCTTTCCGTGCTATGTGAGACCCAGTACAGTGACACCATGACTGCCAGATAAAGCTGTGTTTCCCCATTTGAAAGGCCATCTGCTACTCATTCTGGGGACTTTGGAGAATGTTCTTAAGTGGAAAGAAAACCCTGCTTGTAGCCCCAAACAGGGGGAACTGTCTCTGTAGGGTTTCGTTCCTCCCCAGGATGCAACGGTAGCCATCCTGCGTCCCCAGACTTCCTTGAGACAGAGACCCCAGGACAGGGAAGCTGGGAGACATGAAACCCTCAGACTAAAGGCCAGCATGGGTTTGGGAAGGGTGGGTGGAGAGTCCAGTGGATGAGGCTGCTTTGGGGAGGCAGCACAGGGAAGGACGGCCTATTATTCATGCCCTTCACACCAGACCTCAAGGAACAGAGCGCTCCCTTCCCAGAGGCTTGCCACTAGGGTAAGGGCAAATAAACCTGAAGTCAGCTGCATCCTCCTTGCCCAAGGACACAGATGCGGAGCCCTGTAGGGCGTCCGTCTGTGTGCCAGAGTCGACAGGTGAAGATCACAGCAGCTGCCAACCCTGGAGCATATGATAAATGGCTTGGTCTCGACAGATGGGGGTGCAGGGCCTCTGCTCCCCAGGCCATTGCTGGGTTTGAGGATGCCAGTGAAGCCCAGAGACAGCAGCCATGCCTATCCCAAACCTAGAAGGGCTCACTGAGTGTCAAGGCTGCCCCTGGGCTGGCAAGACAGACCTGACTCCACAACAGGATGGCCAGGCTCCTGCACCTCTGCAGCTGGATGACCTTTAGGGATCACCTGGCAGCTCAGAGCCAGGTCTGCAGAGGAGGCAGCAGTTTGCCAGTACAGCTGAGCCAGGCTTTAGCAGCAGATAGCCTGCCCTAACCTTCAAGGCCTGCCCACCTGACCTCGTGCCTCTGTCCCTGCCTAGGGTGCTGTCTGTTTGCTCTGCGGGGCTGTGGCTCCTGGCAGCAGGAATCTGTCCTCAGCTCTTCTCCCCGGTCTGGGTACCACACATGCACACCGCCACAGCAAGCCTAGTGTGGGGCTCCTTCTCCTACAGCGAGGGTGTTGTCTGCTTGGTTCTGCGTCTCTCACCAGCAAGTGTGCTCCTGAGGGCTCAGAGCCAGCAAGCGGCAGCCGTGCCATCCCTAGATGGGAGGAGGAGCCATGAAGCATCATCCAGTGAATGGATGGACTGGCAGGTGCTCAGTGAAGAACAAGGTCAAATGAATAAATGATACAACGGACCGAAGCTGACTGTGCTGGGCATGAATTCTAGAAGCTTCCGGGCCAACTCAACCTGATAACTGGCATCAGACTCAGGCTCAGGTTTGCTCACTGCAGAGCCAGATTCCCAAGGTGGTCCCTGATTCTAGCAACTTCATTCTGGGCTCTGGGTGTGGTGCTGGGGGTGTGGACCTGCCACAATGGCTCCCGTCCCAAAGAGTTTCTTTCTATATTACTCTCCATCTTATTCTTAACCCTGGAGCTCACTGATTTGGTCAAACTAGCTGGTGAGTGAGCCTCGGTGATCCTTTTGTGTCCACTTGGCCCGTGCTTGGGTCACGCATCACCACACTCAGCTTCTTTTGTGGGTGCTGGGGATCCGAACTCAGGTCCTTACGCTGCATAACAAGTACTCTGCTGACAGAATCATTTCCCCAGCCCCAAACTCACATTTCAATAGAGGGGTTTTCTAACCCTATGAGTGAGATCTAGCCCTCCACCTCTCCGGAGCCCCTGTGCTTCTTCAGGCTGTCCCTTGTGGCTTTCCATACAGGTGTCTTGGCACGTACCTTACAAACTCTCCTCGAGGTATTCGTGGTCTCTGCACGCCATGTGAACTCGATCTCTTCATTCTTACTTTCCAGTTGTTAGCACTGACTTGATTTTGTCTGTTGACCTCACAGCTATCCTTTCAATCTACTGCATTCACTGATGGCTTCCAGGATCCTTGTGAAAACTCCTGAAATTAGCAAATAATCATGGCCTCTGCATCTCTGCCTTCCATGCTATCCTATTGCTTCATCACAAAGGCCTCTTTCAGATGGAACCACAAAGGTGGGCATCGCTGTCTTATCCCCAGTCTTAAAGGGAAAAACGCTTTTCCTTCACCACTAAACACAGTTCAGGGGCTCAGTCATTAAGAGCACTTTCTGCTCTTGCAAAGGACCAGGATCTGGTTCCTAACAGCCACAGGGCAGATCACAATTACCTGTAACTCCAGTTTCAGGGGATCTGGCTCCCTCTTCTGGCAAAATAAATAAATATTTAAAAACTGATCCAGCTGTAGGCATATTGCTTATTTTAATATTCCTACCATGCTGGTAAATTCCACATACTCCCAGTTTTCCAAGTGTGTTTCAAACATGCATGCATATTGGATGCTATCAACGGGTTCTTTCCTTTCTCTATTAAGATGATCACATAGTATTTCCCCTTTGTCTGTTAATGGGGTGATTTACATTGATTTTTTGTTTTGGTTTGGTTTTGTATTTTTGAAACAGGGTTTCTCTGTGTAGACCAGACTGACCTCAAACTCAGAGACCCACCTGCCTCTGTCTCCCAAGTGTAGGGATTAAAGGTGTGCACTGCCGCCACCACCCAGACACATTGATTTTTTTAAAAAATACTTTTTATTACTTTTAATTATGAATACACATGAGAATTCAGCTGCCCACAGAGGCCCCAAAAGGAAGTCAGATGCCCTGGAGCTGGTGTGACAAGCAGTTGTGATCCCCTGACATTGGGGCTGGGAACCAAACTCTGACCCGCTGCAAGACTTGCTCTCATCTGCCCAACCATTTCTCCAGCCCCTACACCGAGTTTTTTGCAGTGCTGAGGATCAAACCCAGGCCTTTGCTCATGTCAGGTGGGCACTCTACCTACAAGCCCCACACTAGCCCAGATGTCACTGATCTATCTCCCCACACAGACTCTGAGCTCTCACTGGATCATGGTACATTGTCCGTCTGGCAGATGCACAGGTTCAACCTTCTCATGCTCTGACAAGGATGTTTGCATGTGTGTACACAAGGGAGGCTGGCACAGGTCCACTGTTGTGTGAACTGTTCCCGGGGAGTCATGAACAAACATCTACTCACCTCCGATAATACATCCGTAGACTAACAGTTTCACCAAGTCCGGTCTTAGGACACCAATGAGCTTATTGGGGTTTTTTCCAGGAGTGTGGGTGACTGCCACCCAAACAGCTGCATCGCTGGAATGTCCCACCACAGCATAGATGATTACTTCCCCGTGGCGACATAGATGGAGGCACACACCTTCATTAACCATCTACTCTGTATCCCAATGCCTGCTGGGACCACCTGCATCTGGGAGAGAATTTCACACAGCTAAAAGGAGGTACAGGTAGGAGTGGGTGGAATCTAAGGGAAGGGTCCATGACCATCTCTACTCACCCTTCCTTCTATGGGAACATCTACAGGCATCATCTTGAGTCCCTTGTAGGTTATCACAGCTGCTCTGATGAAGATGTAATGCTGCTATGCTTGGAGGCCAGTGTTCCAGGACCCTTCTTTCCTAGTAAAGTCCTTGAAGAGGTTTGAGTGTCAGCATTGCTCTTTCTCCCTTCACTATGAATTTGTATAAAACCAGTTCTTTTCACTGGGGAAGCTCTCATGAGAGGGCTTCAAGTACAGCTTCCGTTTCTTTTTCACCTCTTTATTTTTGCCATAAAAAATTCATTTTACCTGGGTGTAGTGATGAAAGCCTTTAATCCCAGCATTTGGGAAGCAGAGGCAGGCACATCTCTGTGAGTTAGAGACCAGCCTGGTCTACAGAGTGAGTTCCAGGACAACCAGGGCTACATAGTGAGACTCTTGTCTCAGAAAAAAAAAGGAAAAATAATTTAAAGGGGATTTCTTTGACTTTATTTATATGTGTGAGTGCTTATGTCTGTGTGGGTGTATGTGCACACCAGTGTGCAGAACCCAAAGGGGCAGGAGAGGACATCAGATCCCTTGCAGTTGGATTTATGGATATTTGTGAGCTGCCCAATGTGGGTGCTGGTCACACCCTCCACCCTCATGATTGAACAGCAAGCATTCTTAACTGCTCAGCTCCTGTATTTGCTTAATTAAAAAATATATATGCTGCAGCCAGTGCAGCAAATCTTAAAACTTGGAGTTCCTGGGAGGGAAGCGCAATGACACACAGACACACAGACTGTGAGGAAGAGAACGTTATTTTACAGTCTGCTATGTTAAAAGGCTGGTGGGGTTACCGGGTTACTTGGATCTTCAGGCTTTAGCTTTGGAGGTCATAAGGGCTCAGAGCTACCTGTGAACACACTTCCCCAAGGCATACCTGAAGGCGGTTCCTCCTGGCTATCAGATTGCCCTGCGGTATTCCAGAGGCCTGTGAAGCCAAGGAGAATATTAGT